AAATTTTCATTGGAAATTAATGTTTCCAATAGATTTCGTCGGAATTTCCAACTGAAATCCGCTGGAATTTTCCAACGACATTTTCAACCGCAATCCATTGGAAAATTTTCAACCGAAATCTGTTGGAATATTTAAAAAAAAATTCAAAACATATTCTCGATTCCGATCCCGACCCCGACCCCGACACCGACACCGACCCCGATCTTGACTCTATATCAAATCCAAAGCTCTGAAATTTAATCCTCGAACTCACTTTCCAGTAGATCACGCATCCTCCCACTACTCCAACTCAATCTTCCTTAACTCTAGAGTTTCAATTGACAATCATCTAAATGTTCCAAATTAAACTTCTGATATCATGTAACATTAATATATATACATATATAAATGTTTATATATATAGATACACATATACATATATATATACATGTATGAATATTTATATGTATATATATATATTTACATATATACACATTCGAATTCATATATATATATATAATATTTGTAATACAAATACATAATATATACATTTCGATATATATATATATATATACTTATTCGTATATTGATATGTATATGTATACATTTTATTTTTACATATAAATATATATATATACATACACAATATACTTATATTTATACATATATATGTATATATAAAAATATATAAAATAAATATTTAAATATATATATAAATATATATATATATTAGTATATATATTTTTCAATTGATTTTTCAACTAAAATCCAAATTTTTGTTGGAATTCTGTTGGAATTTTTTTCCAACTAAAATCCGTTGGAATTCCGTTGGAAATTTCTAACCTATTTTTCGAACCGACATCTATCGAAAATTTCCAATAGAAATCCGTTGTAAATGCCGTTGGAAATTTTCAACCCAATTTTTCAATTGAATACTTTGAAAATTTCGTTAAAAATTTTCTAACGGACGTTTTCAACGAATATCTGTTGGAAATTTCAACGGAAATCGTCATTGAAACGCCATTGAAAACCATCGAAAATCCGTTGAAAAATTTCCAGTGGACAAATCTGTTGAAAATTGGTGATTTTTTGTAATGTGATAAACGAGTGTTTAGGGATCAAATGAGAGAACCATATCTCTTTAGACCATGGGACCATGGGGGAGGTAGGTAGAGCAATGTCCATGCTTTTTTTGTGGAGAAAAATGACAGATTAGTAACCTCGTGTGTGGTAGAACAATAAAATTGGTCTGGGGGATTAGACGACGAAGGGTGAGGATGTTGGAGCAATGCTTGATAGATAGAAGCGACGGTGTCAGAGTGAGCCGCGTGTAGTAGCCAGTCTGATGCCGAACATGCCTATGCAACCATAGACTACAAGGGGATTCTAAGAAGTCATGAACCCAATTCACCTATGACCGTTAACAATGGCCCGAGATGGAGCCAAGAATCAAACCAGAAACTGCATGTGTCACCATTCCTAACACTGCACCTGAGAAGCGGTCTAGCCAATGGTCGGAGTTTCAGTAGTTTCCGCCACACCCAACTACCATTCCCTCGATTCGGTAGTGACCAAAAGATTATGCCCTTAACCAGATTTTGATGCACCTATACTACCTAAAGGACCCTCCTTTAGTAATTAGTAGCCAGAGTAGTTTTAGGCATAAAGTCTTGTTCCAATCAGCTAGTCTCTGAATCCCTAAACCCCCATTGGCCTTGGGAATACAGATGGATGACCAAGAGACCTTGGCTTCCCTCGCAGAGTCTGGTGCTCCTGACCAAAGAAAAGCTGAATACATCTGTGTCTAATTCTTTTAGGCAATTGGAAGGGATAATATTGAATGCTGCCGTCCAAAAGTTTAAAATACTATATATGACTCACTTGATTAATTGTAGTCAACCAGCAAAGGATAAATGCTTCGACATCCAAGAGTTGAATCTCCTCCTTATTGAATCTCTAAGTGCAGCACAATCTCTATCTCGAAATCTAATCGATAACAGTGGCAGACCTAAATATTTTATCTGCAAAGTGGCAATAACAGAATGCATTTCATGGTCATCCCCATCAAGGAAGAGAGATGATTTAGTCTTGTTAATCTTGAGTCCCGAGGTATAGTAAAAATCATCCAAGGTTCGCAAGACGGTTGATAAAGAGCTGTCAGAACTGTCAGAGAATACCAAGATGTCATCTGTAAATGTAAGGTGGGAGACCAAACACACCCTACATTGCGGTGGTAGAATGATATGTCCTCTTGCAACTTCCCGATCGAGCAATCGTGAAAGGGAATCCATGATCATCACAAACCAGTAAGGGGAGATCGGACCCCCTGCCTCAGACCACGTCGCCCTTGAAAGAACCTAATTGATTCGCCATTAAAAGAAACAAAGAACGAAGGTATGGATACGCACTCTGTGATCCAGTTTAGGAATATGGTTGGAACCTCTATGGCAGTCAGAATACGAGTAATAAATTCCCAGTTAACAAAATCAAATGCCTTCGATAAATCCATCTTGAATGCAGCAAACCGCGACCTACCTCTAGAGTTGAAACCCGCTAGTAACTCAGTTACAAGCAAAACATTTTCAATTAGAGAACGACCTCGTATGAAAGCTGTTTGATTAGGAAGGGCCACCGAGGACAACAGAGGCTTGAGCTTCTTGGCGAGAAGCCGAGATATGATTTTGTAGGTTGTGTTGCAGTAAGATATTGGTTGAAACTCCTTCATTTGACTTGCATTCTTGACCTTGGGTATAAGAGATATAATAGTAGATTCCATTGTTTCAATAGTCTACCAGAAGTAAAAAAATTCATAAACAGCGTCAATAACATCCGACCCGACAATGTCCTAGTAGACAGTAAAGAACTCAACCTCCGCAGTGTTCTCTTCGCGGTGGGGAATAACTGACAATAAAGATCAAAGATCTTCATGGCACCGAAATGGGATCAACTCACGTAGCTTGGAGATAGACAAGCATGACAGATCACGTAGTGGTACCGAGGATGGATTGATAGTAGTCCACAGCCATTCGCTTTTTTCTTTTTTATTTGTTTTGTTTCCATGTGTTATGTCTCTCTTTTGTACTGTTGTGCCTTTTCCTTATTTTGTAATTTACTTTCCTTTTCTTATTTTTGTTAACCTTCATGTATATATATATATATATATGCCAGTGATGATATGCGTAATGAGAAATAAGTCTCCTTTTTCTATTAAATTCATGTCTTCTTCACCGAGCCTTGAGTTTCGGTTTTACATCCACTATTTTTATGGTTTTTAATCTTACAAACCCTTTATTTTTAGGGGGGGGGACTATGAGATATGTTTTGGAGATAATTAAAATTTTGTTTGAATATTTCGTTCACTTATTTTTGTTTGGTTAGTCTCAAACATCGATCACGTGATTGTGATTTAATTTATACCATTCTTCTTTATAAGTTTCGCAGAAATTTCGGTTGCCATGTGCGAAAGCGACCATGCCAAAAAATTCAATTTTTAAAATTTAAACAGAACCGGTTTAATGAATCGGATTAACTAATATAAAACCGTACTTCAACCATAAATTTAAACAAACAAAAAAAAACAATTCATATTTTGCGATAGTTGGGTTTAGGCTAATTAAAAGGTTAGATTGATAATTAATCCTAGGTCAAAATCAGATTCAATAAAAGCTAAATTCAATTTATCAAATTGTGGAGTTATTGTACCCATAACGATTTATTCGTACGACAATAACATCACATTGCGTCGAAAACACAAATTTTTACATTATGTACATCGAACCCAACTTAGATATCTCATACGGTGAAATGAAATGCAAAACGTTTATTTCGTCTTGAGTTCGAGTCTCAAATTGGAGAGATGAGCGAGCGCATATTCTAATCACATGATTTGGTCCGGAATTAATTAGGTTCGGTCTAAGACACACGATTACGAAAAAAAAAAATTAATCGAGACAGTGCATACAATCCTATAAATTGTTTTACGGCAAACAACAATTAGATTTGAGACATGCAACCATGTGGTGACAAAAAATGGCAAATTATATAAATACACTTACACCACCAAACCAAAATTAATAAGCATGTTATTCAGACATATTTTTATTATCTAGTACAATAATTATGTCTCTTCATATTTTCTTTTTCTCCAAATGGCCAAATGGCCAACAAAATTCAGATCTTAAACTTTTAATAGATAATACAGTTTTTTTAATATATAATTGTGTATTATTATTGACTAAAAGAGTTTGGTCTTAAAGAAGTATAAGAAATTAAGAATATATAAATTGAATCACAACAACATGATAATTGTTTTAAAACAAAATCATTAATTAGATGAATTCTATCAAGTACTTTTTTATTCCCCGAAAGAGTTATATCTCGACCCAAATGGCCAACATGGGTCAGGTTTTAACTATGTATGTTGCATTTGAATAATGATATTTTTATTATTGAAAAAAAGTTCATTATTAAGATTAGTGTGTGTATATGTGTATATATATATATATATATATATTAATTGGCTATAAATGACCAAAAACGGCGAAAAAAACAAGGCTGTGGATTTAACCTTTCTTACTACACTTTTTATTATGAATTCCTATTATTATTATTATTATCAATAAACATTTAATTCATTTAATACAAATCTTATAAAAAAAACATTTCATTCATTTATTGTCAAGATATATAAGAAATTCAATCAAAACACAAGGATTCTAGTTTAAACCAAAATAATTAAGAGAATTCTTCGAACATATGTTCTCTTTTTCTCTATCATCATTGTTTTGTTTTCTAAATGGCCAACAAGTATTATCAAATATTTAACTTTTTTTTATTATCAGAAGGTTTAGTGAACCTCTTGTTTATAAAAAAAAACATGTTGATTTTAAGTAGACTAAACAGGAAATAATGACAATCTCCTTCCATGCACGTGTATAAATACCTCGGCTTGTTTGTTGCTGTGAACAACTAACCATAATCTCTTCACATAGTTTTTTTTTTGTCATTTCATCAATTTGAGCCTTCGAACTAAAAACCAATGGAGAACAAGCCGGGGAACGGAAAAAACATACAGCCCAAGTATGGGAATTTTGTTACAATCCTCAGCATAGACGGCGGGGGAGTAAGAGGAATTATCCCGGGAGTGATCCTCGCTCATCTCGAGAAAGAACTTCAGGTCTGTTATGCGTATGATCCGCATTTTACTTTGTATACACACGTGCATGATGGGAGATGACATCGGCTACAAAAACTTGCCGGAGATCTTGAGATAACTCATATACGGACAACCTAAGTTGCATTTCTCCACGTGCGTGGTAATAATTTGTTACAAGATTGTATTAGATCCATCGATTCTCGTGCATACAACAGGAACTCGACGGGGATGATGCGAGGTTGGCTGACTATTTCGACGTGATAGCCGGGACGAGCACTGGAGGACTCATAACGGCGATGCTGACAGCGCCTGACGATAACGGCCGACCATTATTTGCGGCCAAGGACATTGTTCCTTTTTACAAGAAGCATTGCCCAGATATCTTCCCCCAACGCCAGTACATAAATTAATTTCAATGCGTATATGATTTAATTGTGTTGAAGTATATATATTAAATAATACTTACAAATTAATTCTAATAGGAGATTCTAATTTCTAACTATTTCCATGTAAGAAGTTAAGAAATGCTTCTAATTAAATGGACAGATGGTTTAGTTCGTTGCCGAAGATCCGGAACGCTTTTTATCGGCCAAGATACGACGGAGAGGGTCTTCGCAATAAGGTAAAGGATATTCTCGGAGGGAAAAAGCTCGGCGATACGCTCACCAACGTTATCATACCTACCTTCGACATCAAGAAAATGGAACCCACCATCTTCTCCTCGTACCAGGTCCGATGTTTTGTGACTAAACAGACAGGATATTATTACGGGAGCTTGATATGGGAAGTTGTTAGTCAACAACAAATTCTGGAAACTCTATATTTGGTGGTTCCTAAATATCTGCATACACAGCTAGTATTTCCATTCTGTTGTTTTAGGTCAAAGCTCGATCACATCTGTATATATATTTGTAAAACCAACTGATGAAGGCAGCAGCGTTTTCTGCAAATTCTCTTGCTCATTTGATATTTATCATGGTATCAGAGCTTCGACTTTAACAAACTCAAATAAACCCGATTTTTCGAACTTCATGGCTTCTTCCGACCCGACCCCGACTGATTCCTCAATACCGACCCAGACTCCTCCGATGACGCAACCCGGACATGCAGCAGATGCTACTCCGTTGCCGCGACGTACGATTTCGCCTTATGATCTGACCCCCAGCGACAACCCCGGGCTTGTGTTGTCGCAGCCACTCCTCCGTGGTGATAATTATGACGAATGGGCGATTAACGTTCGTCAGGCATTGAAATCCCGAAAGAAATTTGGTTTTGTCGATGGTACAATTCCAAAGCCGGCAGACTTTTCTCCCGATTTCGAAGATTGGGATACGAACAACGCATTAATTGCTTCTTGGATCAAGAATACACTCGAAGCCCATCTCCGATCTGATGTTGTCCATCGTGAATTGGCTCAAGACTTGTGGGATTATCTGAAACGTCGATTTGGCAGATCGAATGCTCCTCGGCTTCTCACAATCCGAAGTGAACTTGCTAACTGTCGCCAGCAGGGAATGACGGTGCAGGCTTATTTCGGAAAGTTGACAAAGCTGTGGGATGACTTGGCCAATTTCCGAGGACTAAAACTGTGTAAATGCCATGGCTGCACTTGTGACATCGCTGATGTTCTTGAAAAAGAACGGGATGAGGACAGGTTGTTCGAGTTCTTGCTTGGACTCGATGATTCAAGATATGCCACTGTCAGGTCGAGTTTGCTATCTCGCCATCCTCTTCCATCTCTTGAGGAAGCTTACAACACAGTCTCTCAAGACGAAGCAGCTAAGCATGTTACTCAGACTTTTGAAACCAAACCTGATGCCTCTGTTTTCTTGGTTCGATCCTCTGCGAAATTTCGCAGCAAACCCGACGACAAGGATCGCACTATACTATGTACCCACTGCAACAGAACTGGCCATTTGGCCGAAAATTGTTTCAAGATTATTGGGTATCCAGATTGGTGGGGCGATCGCCCGCGAACTCGTTCTGGTGCATCTCGTGGCAGAGGAACTACGACATCTGATCGATCTCAAGGTCCTCTGCCTCGGGCTAATATGACGCATGTTCAAGCATCGACACCCGTGGTTCCCTTGACTGCTGCAGACAAAAGCCTCGTTGGGGGCATTACACAAGAACAGTGGGATAGCTTGATGACCATGCTCGGCAAAACGACCGCCAGTCGTTTCGATACTGCTTCTGGTAAGTCCTCATCTTCTTTATGGATACTTGATACTGGCTGTTCCCAGCATATGACAGGAGAATTTGGGTCTTTGACGGATATCTCCTCAACACCACCATGCTCGGTTATTCTTCCTGATAATAGATCAGTTGTCTCTACTCACAGTGGTTCAGTAATCTTGAGTCCTACTCTGCGTCTCACAAATGTTCTATATGTTCCGGGTCTGCACTGCCAATTGGTTTCTATCGGTCAGATGATGACTGATATTGATTGCTTCGTGACTTTTGCACCGTCATTCTGTGTGATTCAGGACCGGAATACCAAGACGGTGATTGGAGCGGGTGAGCAACGTGCGGGTCTATATTACTATCGGTCAGTGGCAATCTCGGCAGCAGCTAAGAAAAAGGATTTCCAGTCAAGTGATGTTTGGCATAAGCGACTCGGTCATCCCTCTCCGAAGGCACTGTTGAAGATTCCAGCTCTTGATATTTCAGCAATTTCTTCTTCTGTTTCCGAGTTGTGTGATGTTTGTTTACGGGCAAAACAAACACGCGAACCTTTTCCATTGAGTAACAATAAAGCATCTGCTATTTTTGAGTTAGTTCACTGTGATATTTGGGGACCGTATCGTTCTCCATCATTCTCCGGAGCCAGATATTTCTTGACTATTGTCGACGATTTTTCCCGCGGCACTTGGGTTTTTCTGATGCTCGGAAAATACGAAACTCAAACCAAACTCCGTGATTTTATTGCTCTTGTTGAAAGACAATTCACTGCAACTGTCAAAATATTGCGAACAGACAATGGAGCTGAGTTTATCAGCCTGCGTCCATATCTGTCATCAAAGGGAATAGTACACGAGACATCGTGTGTTGGCACGCCACAACAAAATGGCCGGGTCAAAAGAAAACACCGTCACCTACTCAACATTGCCCGGGCTTTGCTTTTCCAAGCAAACCTACCTATTGATTTCTGGGGAGAAAGTGTCTTGACTGCAGCTTATCTTATCAACCGAACGCCATCATCAGCTCTTGCAAATCGCACCCCATATGAAATCCTGTATGGAACCTGCCCCGATTACAGCAATCTGCGTGTCTTTGGAGCATTGTGTTATGCTCATCATCAAGATCGAACTCATGATAAGTTCTCTCCTCGCAGTTCTCGCTGCATTTTTCTTGGTTACCCATATGGTCAAAAAGGCTGGAGACTTTATAACCTTGAGACAAAGAAGGTTTTTGTCTCTAGAGATGTCGTTTTCTTCGAAACCCGGTTTCCGTTTTCTGAAATGTCAGCGCAGAATTTACCGGCTACAAGCCCATCCCCTTCTTCTTTTTGGAACAATTCTTATGATGATGATGCTGAGTTTCACATCGCCCATACTCCCCGCCAGCAGTCATCTCCATCTGCCGCAGCTGATGTTGCAGTGATGGAGGAACCACAATCTGATATTGTTGCCTCTGGTTCGTCATCGTCTCCAGCATCATCTTCTTCCCCGTTAGTAGTTCCTGATCCGGTTATTGTTCATCAATCTGATACGCCTGCTGAAGCTGGAAATATTCTTGGCAGAGGACATCGACAGAAATTTCAGAACACTCTTTTGAAAGATTTTGTCACCAATTCTGTTTCGGTTGTGTCAGGTATGCCATTTCCTCTCGAGAATTACATCTCCTATGACCGAATTCTTCCACAGCATAAAGCCTTTGTTGCTACTGTCACTGAAGAATCTGACCCTCGATCATACTCTGAAGCATCTCGCGATTCTCGCTGGCGGAAAGCTATGTCCGATGAACTCTCTGCCTTGGAGCAAAATCGGACATGGACTATGGAAACTCTACCACCGGACAAAAAGGCAATTGGATCAAAATGGGTCTTCCGCACGAAATACAAATCTGATGGTAGCATCGAACGTCACAAAGCCCGGCTCGTCATTTTGGGAAATCGACAAACAGAAGGAGTGGATTACGATGACACCTTTGCTCCTGTAGCAAAGATGGTTACGGTCAGAACATATCTCGCCGTCGCAGCAGCTCGAAAATGGGACGTTCATCAAATGGACGTCTATAATGCGTTCCTTCACGGTGATCTTTCCGAAGAAGTATACATGAAACCACCTCCTGGGTTTTCAGTCTCAAATCCAAAGTTGGTGTGTCGGCTGCGAAAATCGCTCTATGGCCTCAAGCAAGCACCCCGCTGTTGGTTCGCCAAACTCGCTGAGGCTCTTACCAAGTACGGTTTTGTTCAAACTGAATCCGACCACTCGTTATTTATTCTGAAACAGGGTACCACCCGTCTCCACGTGCTTGTCTACGTCGATGATTTGTTAATCACGGAAAGTTGTGCTCAAGCTATGACACACTTTAAACTATATCTTAGTCACTGTTTCAGAATGAAGAACCTTGGCAGCTTGAAATATTTTCTTGGCATTGAGGTGGCGCGAAATTCATCTGGTTTCTCTCTTTGCCAAAGAAAATACACATTGGATCTCATTGCCGAAGCTGGGTTATTGGCTGCAAAACCAGCATCATTTCCGTTAGAGCAAAACCACCGATTGGGCATCTCCGACAGTGAAATCTTGCCAGATCCAGAACCGTATAGACGTCTCATTGGCAAGCTTCTGTACCTCCTAGCCACTCGTCCGGATATTACATATGCGGGACACACTCTCTCTCAGTTTATGCAGACTCCTCGCAGAGATCATTGGCTGGCGGCTCTGCGGGTAATTCGATATCTCAAGTTGAATCCCGGGCAGGGGATTCTCCTACGATCAGATTCCGACTTACGTCTATATGGTTGGTGTGATTCTGACTGGGCCGGTGACCCACGTTCCCGACGATCCCTCTCTGGTTATATCATCCAGCTCGGAAATTCTCCCATCTCATGGCGTTCTAAGAAGCAACCGACGGTAGCTCTCTCTTCAGCCGAAGCCGAATACAGGGCAATGCAGATTGCTACTTGCGAGCTCGTCTGGCTAAAGTCCCTGCTCACTTCGCTCGGTGTCCGACATCCTGATCCTATGGTCCTCCACTGCGATTCTCAAGCTGCGTTACACATCGCTGCAAACGATGTATTCCATGATCGGACAAAACACATCGAAGTCAGCTGTCATTTTCTGCGACAATTTATTAAATCTGGCCAGATTTCGACCCGTCATGTTTCATCCGCCTCCCAGCTTGCTGACATCTTTACGAAGGCACTCGGACAACGAGAGTTCACGGTTTTTCTCTCCAAGTTGGGCATCCATAACATCTATGCTCCAACTTGAGGGGGGTATTACGGGAGCTTGATATGGGAAGTTGTTAGTCAACAACAAATTCTGGAAACTCTATATTTGGTGGTTCCTAAATATCTGCATACACAGCTAGTATTTCCATTCTGTTGTTTTAGGTCAAAGCTCGATCACATCTGTATATATATTTGTAAAACCAACTGATGAAGGCAGCAGCGTTTTCTGCAAATTCTCTTGCTCATTTGATATTTATCAGATATATTACTCAAATCTTGACATCATCTCTTTTTTTGTCCCTGTGAAGATGTTGGCTGATCCGAGTTTGGACGCGGAGTTATCACACATATGCATTAGCACATCGGCTGCTCCGATTTATTTTCCTCCCCACGAATTTAAGAATGAAGACCGTACAGGAAAAGTGACAGAGTTCAACCTCATTGACGGCGGAGTCACGGCCAATAACCCGGTAAATACCATCTCTCTGGGACCCTTTTACTTGCAAACAACAACAACAAAAAACGAAATGAATGACGCTTTTTGTTTGGTTCTTTCTACCAGACATTGTTGGCTATGACCGCAGTGTCTAAACAGATAGAGCTGAAGAATGAGGATATGGGGCATATGGATTCAAACTCCATCCCATTCCTCGTTATATCCATAGGGACAGGATCGGCAAAAAAACAAGGGAAGTACAATGCCTCAACGGCCTCATACTGGGGAGCCATCTCTTGGCTCTTCCACCTTGGATCTTCCCCTTTATCTGAATGTTTCTTGGAATCCAACAGTGCCATGGTCCATTACCACAGCTCCGTCAAGTTCCAAGCCTCTAATTCCCGAAAAAATTACCTTAGGATCGATGTAAGGTTGAGTTGAAATGTGTCATATCTATCACCATCCGTACGGTATATAACTACATATTGTGTATGTGTTTTTCTCTCGTTAGGACGATTCACTGGAAGGAGATGTGAGCTCTACTGACATAGCTACGAAGGTTAACCTGGAAAACCTGGAGAAGATCGGAATTAATTTGCTGGAAAAGAGAGTCGCCAGAATGAATCTCAAAACTGGTGAACCAGTATCTGGTAAAACTAACTACAAAGGAAAACTCAAAAGGTGAATGATTTTGTCTCGGTCCAAGGAACAGAAGGTGAATGCATACGTTTAACTTCATCTCTCTTTGTTTTTCTTCTGGATATTCCATGACAGGTTCGCCAAAAAGCTTTCGGAGGAAAGGAAGCTCCGGATGGCTGCTAAGTCTGGGTCAAAGTGATCAACATAGATACAGACAGAGCCCAAGCTTTTGTTCTTTTGGATTTTGTTTCTCTTTATGTCTGAATCTGTTTTCATCTCTATCTTTCATGTTCTTGTCTCTGTGTGTGTGTGTGACGATCTGTCTTTTGCGCTTTTGTTTTGAACTTTTTTTTTGGGGGTGTGATTCTTCCACGAACAACAATAAAGGAAAATCAATGACTTCAAAAAAAAATAACACTTGTACTTCGTATAAATTATCGTAAAAGTCGTAGGTTTGGCAATGGACAGCTCAAGCAAGATACAGATTTGTCTTAAGTCCTAACCACGATTAGCACTTTAGGGTACGGACAACACATTGACTTTGATTAAACAAACGATGATTAATAACTAAATAAAATATCGAGATAAACGAAGAAAATTGTGACTTGTAACGCTCGGATGACTTGGATAAAGAACACATACATAAATTAATCACCAATCTCCCTCCACACGTGAAAGTGCATATATTCGCATCAAATCCCGGTTTTGTCTCTGTAAATGTGATCTTGTCTCTTCATACGGTCATACCCTTTTACCAATTCGATTCTTCGGATTCGAATCATCAAAAATCAATGGAGAAAGATTCACAGTGCTCGAAAAACAACCGCCGACATACGAAAAAATGGTTACGAATTATGATCCTCAGCATGGACGGCGGAGGAGTCCGAAGAATAATTGTCGGAGTCATCTTGGCTCGTCTCGAATCACATCTTCAGGTTGTATTATAATTACGACTCGATCCATTGTTTCTTTCTTACTCTACTCTTATTTTTTTCTTTACTTTAAAGTTTGTCCACTATATATCCCATGCAGTGAAACCTTTTAATGATATTATTTTTTGTTAAAGATCTTTAATGATATTATTTATAACCCATAATTTTGAGAGGTGAAAACAAGTATCAGAATCACTTAAATCTTTTTCATTGTTTAATCACCTTGACAACCATACGTAATGTTTTGATATAAAGGAAACTTATCGGACTAATCCTTATGATTATGTACCTATATTCAAACATAAAGATGATTACAAGTGAGGAAAAAAAACATGAGTGCATAGTACAAAGATATACGAGGGATATCCAAGGATTAAACGATTCATATGAAATCGCAAGAGGACAGATCCTGATACTTGATCCAATTTCGGACTTGCAGAAGACTTACAATCTGATCAATCAATAGGAGCAATAAACATTGATCAAGACTTCTATTCCTACTACTGCAGATACCATGGTATTTCAAACTACTGCATCGAATGGTGCTGGTGATGTTGTTGTTGCTGTTGCAGGAAATTTTCTCAACAACCAACGACCTATTTGCACACATTGTGGCATTCAAGGCTATACTATACAGAAATGTTACAAGTTCCATGTTTATCCACCTCGATACAAGTCTCGAGCACAACAAACTCCTGTACCAAAGTCTGGCAATCCATACAGTTCTTCAAACCTCAGTATCCTCCAAGAAATACAAATGTGGTTACTGAACCTACTGATATTACGAATCATCTATCTGATGTTGGTGGATTCACAGAACGTCAGCTACGTCAATTGTTTGTCAAACTTGGACAACACTTAAGGATTTTATATCCATCTATTACGGCACAAGGAGCACCGACAAATGTTGGATCTATCACAGGTACTTCTGCTTATGTTGTTAGACCTATTGCATTGTTAACTTTGCATTCCAATTCAAATTAGATTTTAGGGCTTCAATGTTAACGGACATGAAAAACATGAAGAACACATGAAGCCCTCGGAGCATGATGGACAACACTCGAGCATGCACATGCAACATGGATCGAACAACACAAAGGAAAGGAGAAAATATTGGAAGCAATCAACACGTGACAAGGAAAGAAGCATAACTTCCATATTTCAAGGGTAAATATCATGTTTCCATTTTATAAAAGACACGTAGCTGTTTGCAGCTAAGTGTATATATTCCAAGCTATGTATGTAAACAAAAAGTTCAAGAGAGAATAACAGAGAACTTTCTTCAACCCAACTTCACATCTCTTCGGTTTTTCTGTTGTAGTTACACGTTTGATATCTGAAGAATTTAGTTTTCTTCATTCAACACATGTCTGTTCTAATGTGGATCTGATTATCAAGATGAAGAGGGTTTCATCAACGCCGGTAACATTGCCAACGGGTCAAACTTTGACAATTAAGTCCTCTGGAACTGTAATTCTAAATGAGTTTATCACACTTCATGATGTACTTTATATATCCTCTTTTTTAATCTGATTAGTGTCCCATCGTTGTTGAGACATTCAGATTTTTATGTCCTTTTTACCCAAAAAACATGCCTCATTCAATACCATATTTGGGGATAGACGATTGGAAAAGCTGAATTTCAACACAACCTATATTTTTGGGACTCAATACTTGTAATCTTTGGTTGTTGATTCTGTTTTGTAGCACCAAAGACTTGGTCATCCTTCTCATACCAGAATAAAGATACTTTTTTGTGTTGAGTATTCAGAAATGTACAGATTTATCACATTGTAAGGTTTGTCGTTTGTCCACAAAACAAAAGAGATTACCCTATGTTTCTGAAAATCATATCTCTTCTACTCCTTTTGAACTTATTCACATGGATATTTGGTATCCCTTATCCATTCCATCTATGGAGGGGTATAAGTAATTTCTAGATCTTGTGGATGACCGTTCTAGAGTGATTTGGATCTATATGGTTTATAAACTATTATGTGGAATAAAAATTAATATTTATCATTGTGCTCGAAATATTGTGGTTGAACTCTCACCATTATAAAAAATTAAAATAAAATTTTCGGAATTTAGTACAATCTATATTTTATTGAATTTTTAGAAAAAAAAATTGGGAACAATCACGCTTAATATTCGACCAATTTTTATTATTTAGTACAATATGTCTTTTCATATTTTTTTTTCACTCCAAATGGCCAAATGGCAACCAAATATCAGATTTTTAACTTTTTATAATATATTTTTTTATAATTTTTTATTATTATTGACAAAAAATATATTCTTGAATGAATAATAAGAATATTTATAAAATCATTCACAACAACATGATAATTATTTAAAAGAAAATAATTAGACGAATATTTCAAATATATTTTTATTACCTCGCAGAGTCATAACTCATCCCAAATGGGCAACATGGGTAAGATATTAACTGTGCATGTTGCATTTGTATAACGACATTTTTATTATTGATAAAATTCTAATTATTGAGATTAGTATTGGAATATATAAATCTAATCGCAATCAAGTGATAGTTATTTAAATAAAAACAATTAATTAAACTTTTCAAATACTTTTAGTATTTCATATAAACATTTTTCATTGTTTCCATATGGCCAAATGGCCAACAATAGTAAGGTTTAAACTTTTTATACTGCATTTGTATTACTGATAAAAATTTCATTCTTGAAAATGATATAAATTAAATCATATAATAACCATGTGATCGTTGTTAAAAAAATAATTAAGTGAATGCATCACACATTAATGTAATTATTTGGCGGAACAGTTCTCATCAATTTTTTCTCTCACAAAACTCCCAACAAGCCTCTGGTTTCAACCTTTCATATACTATATATACTTTCATTATGAATTCCTATTATAAAAAAAAAACTTTTCTATATCATCTTTGTTTGATTTTTTTTTCCCGAAATGACCCAATGGCCAACAAGGCTCATCAATTTTCATCTTTTTAAACAGAACTTGCGTTATAATTTACATTTATTATTGATTAAAAAAACAAGTAATTTCTCTTCGGGTGCAATTATCGTATGATCATGGTTAGCACGATCACGTACTAAGCACATGTTGATTTTATGTAGACTAAGCTAGAATAATCACAAAGTTGGTCAATCTCATTTCACGCACGTGTATAAATACCTCGTCTCTTTCGCTGCTACGAGTAACTGTAATATCTTCATCAATTTGAGTCTTGGAACGAAAACCCTAAAGTACCGGATGAAGAGCAAGTCGGGAAACCTAAAAAACATACCGCCGGCGTACGGAGACCTCGTCACTATCCTCAGCATAGACGGCGGAGGAGTCCGAGGAATAATCGCCGGAGTGATCCTTGCTCGCCTCGAGAAAGAACTTCAGGTGAGTACGCATGATGCTTTCTGCGTTTTATTTTGTAAATCCTATCGGAGATATCTTGTCCGATTTCTTACAAATTTGGATAAGTCGCATCTATATATAGGCGGCAGTAATTTCTTACAGATTTGGATATATGTGTATGTGTTGTAATGTATACAGAAGCTGGACGGGAAAGAAGCGAGGTTAGCGGATTACTTCGACGTGATAGCCGGGACGGGAACCGGCGGTCTCATGGCGGCGATGCTGACAACTCCCGACGATGTCTTTGGCCGACCATTATTCGCGGCCAAAGACATTGCTCCTTTTTACATGAAGCATTGCCCCAAGATCTTCCCCCAGACCGAGTATAAGAGATTAATTTCCATATAATATGCCTAGTTAATTGGAGATTTGTTTTCTCGTAGCTTCAAAAACACATTTTCCCATCTTCCCTGAAACAGTTCAGTTACATTCTTACTTAAACCCATCATGGTTTATATCCATAAATGGACAGATGTTGGATTAAATGGTTAGTGAAGCTCCCGACTATACTTTGGCGGCCGAAATACGATGGAGAGTATCTTCGGGATCTGGTAAAGAATATGCTCGGAGGAAAAAAGCTCGGCCAAACGCTAACCAACGTTATCATACCTACCTTCGACATCAAGAAACTCCAACCCACCATCTTCTCATCCTACCAGGTCCTTAATATATATATATGCTTTCCACACTTGTGAAACACACTGACACTCGGTGTTTGATTATCTCTTTTTTGCTTGTGAAGATGTTGGCTGATCCGAGTTTGGATGTCAAGTTATCAGACGTATGCATCGGCTCAGCTGCTGTCCCGATCATTTTACCTTCCCATCACTTTGTCAATGTCGATAGGAACGGGAATGAGACAGAGTTCAACCTCGTCGACGGTGGAGTCACGGCCAGTAACCCAGTAATACCCATTTTAGCATTCTACACATGACACCCTTTTGATCGATTACCGGAACGGATATTAATAAAACACAATTTTGGGATTGCTTTTCAGACGCTGGTGGCTGTGACCGCAGTGTCTAAACAGATACAGATCGGTAATCCGGATTTGAGGAATATCGAACTGCAGTCCGGCAAATTCCTCGTGATATCGATAGGGACAGGATCTGGCAAGACGAAAGACAAGTACAGTGCTCTAGAGGCCTCCAAATGGGGAGCCTTGTGTTGGTTTCTCAACTTCGGCCGTTGGTCATCTCCGATAATCGATTTCTTTTTTAAATCGAGCAGTGACATGGTCCATTACCACAGCTCAGTCGTGTTCAATGCCACTAATCGCAAGGAAAATTACCTCAGAATCGACGTAAGATATGAACACACACGCGAAATGCATGATCTGTCTCACAATCTGTATACCTTCCATTTATAAGTACAGCAGACTGTTTATATATATATATATATGCACACACTCGGCATGCAGGATGATTCATCGGATGGAGATGCGACCTCGCTACCAAGGCCAAGCTTAAAGAGCTTTGGCACACGGGAAAGAAGATGCTGAAGAACAAATTCACAGGATTAAATTTCAAAAATCAGAGTGACAAACTAAAAAATGATAACATTACCAACGAAGAACAACTCAAAATGTGAGTCGGTTACTTGGCTCCCAAGTAACATTTTCGGGTCACAAACTAATGACTGTTAACTTCATCGATCGTTTTTTGTTTTCCCGTTATTTCCGTGGCAGGTTTGCGGCAAAGCTTTCGGGTGAAAGGAAACTCCGGATGAAAGCTTTTCGGATGATATAACATTACCACCGATCGTTTGTTTTCAGCATTGGGTACGGACAAAAGACCACGCTTTTGTCTTTGTTACAGTTATCCGACAATCTCTACTTCATACTTGGATTTTGTTTCTGTTTGTGTCCCTTTGTCATGAATCTGATTTAAGTCTATCTTTAATAATTTGTGTGTGGTGCAACGAAACGTCTTTGAGCTTAATTCGTTGAACTTCCTTTTTTTTTCTCTTGTATTTCAATTTTTTTTTAAATCTAACTATGGTTTAGATCTCGTGTATTCTATAAAAAAAAAAATTTACATGCTCTTCTAGTCAAATTCGGTTCCAACTCTTTATATTAGACGAAATCCACTTAAATTTGCCACCAATTTTTTTTTTTTAAAAAAAAAACAGGAATTCACTCGACATGGACTAAAAAGAAAGATGATGATGGTATGATAAAGACCTCGTTGGCATTCCAAACATCAATCCTACGTGACCACATCATACTTAAAACCCTCAGTATGAAACCACTTCCTAAGGAATATAAAATATACATCCAAACATATAAATTCTAGAGGTCGAACACATCACGACGACTAAATAGTAACCTAATCAAGAGTAGGTTGAGAAATTAAATAGTGGGTTGTTGGGAATATGATGTAAAACATTTAAAACCGTAAATTAAACTATATGAATAACAACACTGCTGGTTTCTAGATCGCATTGGCATGTAAAAATTGTTCCTATAGACATATATCCTACTATATGTATCCATATCAGATTCGTGAAATTGAATTTCTAATTTATAATTTGATGGTCTTGATTAATTCCTCTATCTAGATATTTAACTTATCATCTTTCATTTTATATGTCAAATAATATATATATATATATATATATATATACTTACAAATTAATTCTAATAGGAGATTCTAATTTCTAACTATTTCCATGTAAGAAGTTAAGAAATGCTTCTAATTAAATGGACAGATGGTTTAGTTCGTTGCCGAAGATCCGGAACGCTTTTTATCGGCCAAGATACGACGGAGAGGGTCTTCGCAATAAGGTAAAGGATATTCTCGGAGGGAAAAAGCTCGGCGATACGCTCACCAACGTTATCATACCTACCTTCGACATCAAGAAAATGGAACCCACCATCTTCTCCTCCTATATATATATATATATATCAACATTCACCATCACAATTGCTAAACCAATTAATCCGTTCCATACTTAATCTCAACTCGTCGTAAATCAAAATTTCCCGAGTTAGAAGACAACTTCACGGTGCAACGCACGCGTGAGAGGGAATGAGAGATGCGGACGAAAGAAGATCACAGACCGAAAGTGGTAAGATCTCGGGTTAGTGGTTTAAACTCTTCCTTTGTGGACAAGGTAAAATAAGAGAAAGAAAATGTCTGTTAGATTATTACGTGTTATTTAGATTTTTATTTCATTGTTTCTAATATCTTTTTTTTAGAATGGATGGCTTAAAAGTTTCTCAGATTATTTATATTGTGAGATATTTGAGAATAATTAGGAATAGCTCAAATTTAAATTCAAATCTAGAAAATGAATGTGGTTGAAAAATAAGTAACAATGTCGAATAACCAATTTGAATAGTTCAATCCGTAAAATGAAGACGCAAATCGTCTATTCCATCCCGAATTCGAGGCTCATATTAGGGAGGAAAACGGATATTCTAATCACATAACTTGTATTCATTCTCGAGATTAGTCTGGATCTCGATCGATCCAAGACATCCAATTACCAAAAAAAAAAAATTACAATGTCGGATGCAATACGATTTAATGATCTATTGTCACATTAACAACATCAGTATCCGATAGTAAAAAATTGTACTAAACATCATTGTCAACACAGTCCAACTCATTTACAAAAAATATTATAACCAACCATCCCACTACTTCCCCGGCAAATCCTCCGACCGTCAGTAGCTTTGGGACATGCAACTAGTAGCAGATCCAAAAATAATAATAAATGAAGACAATAATTTTATTGTAGGGCATATGTTATTGGGTATTTAATAATTTATTTAAAATTTTATAAAATTACACATATGGGCATTTGACCCCAAGGCGGTCCCCGCCCATGCATGCAACCTATGTTTCTGTCTCTACAACCTAGTCGATCAATATATATAAACCAAATCACAATAATATTCTATTACCAATAGACCATTTGTCATCGTTTTTCACCCCTGATAATGGCCAACAAGGCTAAATTTTTAACTGTCTATACTGCACTTGTATTATAATTTCAATTTAATAGTAATAACAATATTCATTCTTGGGACATTGTAAGAATACATAAATGCAATCACTACAACATTGTCCTAATTTAAACAAAATAATTTCAAATTTTTTTATTAGTTCACAGAATATTTCTTATGGCTTTTTTCTCTAACTGGACAAATGGCCAACATGGTTCTGTTTACACTGCAATTGTACTATGAATCACTATTATTATTAATAAAAAATTCAGTTTTACTTCATAGCAATTATTGTGAGAACATGGTTAGCACGACAACGTAAGAACAACAACTTGATCTTTTAAGTAGACTAAAGTAGAATAATGACAAAGGTTGTCAATCTCCTTTCACGCACGTGTATATATACCTCGGCTCCCTTGTTGCTATGAGTAACTACAGTCTCTTCACATAGATATTATTTTCATCAAATCGAGTCTTCGAATACTAAAAACCCTAAAACACCTATGGAGAACGAGCTGGGTTCCGTAAGAAACAAAACGGAGATCGAGTCAAAGTATGTAAGAACCAAACCGGCGAATGGAAGATTCGTCACCATCCTCAGCATAGACGGCGGAGGTATCCGAGGAATTATCCCCGGAGTGATCCTCGCTCACCTCGAGAAAGAACTTCAGGTGAGTTTCTTCGGATTTTTTTTTGTTAACGGTAAAATTTCATGTATCTATATGATGTTTCTTCGGAATTTTACTTCGTAAAACTATGATTTGATCATATGACTGATGGGAGATGAACGATAACATGAACTACATCTGACCCTGAGATCTTGTCGGATTCTTTCAATAATCCCCATACCCACAATGTTGCATATTTACATTGTAATGATCAAGGGCAATATTGTAAATAAGTATATTTATTTAGGCTACAGCTGTGCGGTATAACAATTTATTAATAAACAGCATAGTGAAACGTATGCTCTGGATGAAACCAAAGTGAACTAGTCTTTGGAGTTATGATATATATATATTCTCACGTGTATACAGATGCTCGACGGGAAAGAAGCGAGGTTGGCGGATTATTTTGACGTGATAGCCGGGACGAGCACCGGCGGCCTCATAACGGCAATGTTGACGGCTCCTGACGATGACGGCCGACCATTATTCGCGGCCAATAAGATTGTTCCCTTTTACATGAAGGAATGCCCCAAGATCTTCCCTCAGCCCAAGTGAGGAAACTTAATTTCCATATATAATATCAACTAGTCGGAGATTTATTTATTTATTTGTTTCATAGCTTTAAAAACATTTTACATGTTTATTGACTTGTCCTTGTTCAGCCAATGTATAATAATGAAGATCCCAAACAATTGAATGGCACAAATACTAACGTCTATGTTGAATATTGCTTCGGTTTAATAAACAACTAAATGGACAGAGGGTTCATCGGTCGGTTACCAAAGTCGGTTCAAGGAATGGCCTCGAGTTTGGTCCGTCTAGTACCGAAGTGTCTTCGAGAAAAGGGCAAAGAGTTTGTTGGTCTGCTAAGGAAGCTCCCAAAGATCTTTTGGCTGCCAAAATACGACGGAGGGTACCATCATAAGCTGATAGAGGATATGCTCGGAGAGAAAAAGCTCGGCGATACGCTCACCAACGTTATCATACCTACCTTCGACATCAAGAAAATGGAACCCACCATCTTCTCCTCCTACGAGGTCATCCCTTTCTCCATAATATTTCCACATTTTTATTGAAAAATAAATAAATAATAAAGAACGAAAGAGAAAAGAACAGAATCACTTTTATTACTACGTCTATTCTTTCTTATTGTTATATTACAATAAAAAATAACTCACATATTTATAGAAAAATTAACAAGCGAATTAAAAAAATATATAAATATAAGAAAAATAAATCAAATACGCAATATTTGACATAATAATATTGTATCCATTATTATTTTCAATTATATATCAAATCTAATTTTACTCTCATCGCATATTCATTTTTCTATTTTAACAATTTTGTGTTGCGAGCTGAACTATAAACTGTCAAATCAAATGATTATATATCCCTTTTGGCTTGTGTAGGCATTGGCCGAGCCGAACTTGGATGTCAAATTATCAGACATATGCATCGGCACATCAGCTGCTCCGACTTTTTTCCCTGCCCATTACTTTAAGAATAAAGATAGTAAAGGGTCGATCGAGACAGAGTTCAACCTCATTGATGGCGGAATCACTGCCAATAACCCGGTATAAATGCCGTCTTTGGATCCTATACTCGAAGCCCTTTCACAACGAAAAGGCGTCCGGGTTAATCTTTTTTAGTTTTGTTGGTTCTATCAGACTTTGCTGGCAGTGACTGCAGTGACTAGACAGATAGAGCAGGGAAACGCGGATATGGGGGATATGGAACCGTTAGATTTCGACCGTTTCATCGTGATATCGGTAGGGACAGGATCGGGCAAGAATGAATGGAAGTACAATGCTTCAAAGGCCTCCAAATGGGGATTCTGGTCTTGGGCCTATTACCGTGGAGATTCTCCGTTAATAGATTTCTTCTTTCAATCGAACAGTAGCATGGTCCATTACCACAACTCCGTCGTGTTCCATGACAAAGATGGCCAGACAAATTACCTTAGAATCGACGTAAGTTACGTACATATATATATATACACACTAGAAATGTACGGTCGGTCACAATCTGTACGGTAACTTGAGATTGGTTTTGCTCGATTGTCTCGCAGGACGATTCACTGGAAGGAGATGCGAGTTCAACTGACTTAGCCACAAAGGCTAACCTGAAGAAACTGAAGAGGCTCGGATATAAGATCCTGAAAAAAAGGGTCATGGAAATGAATCTTAAAACCGGCAAATACGAACCAGTTCGCGAAAAAACTACCAACAAACAAGAACTCAAAAGGTGAATAATATAGTCGGTTACTTCTCTCCCAAGGAACAGTTTCTAAGCTATACGGATTGTGTTCATCTTTTTTCTCCTCCAATATCCAATTACAGGTTTGCGAAATTGCTTTCGGACGAAAGAAAAAGCCGAAACTCGAATTCAGATTCGAAGTTATCAACAATGTTCATGGATACAAACAAAGACCAAGCTCTGTCTTTGCTATAATTATCCGACGGTTTCTACTTCATATTTGGATTTTGTTTCTCAGCTTGTGTCTCTTTGTGGTTGATGATGTTGTTCAAGTTCATCTTTTATGTTACGTGCGCATCAAGGAATCTTCCTTGATATTGTGGTGTGTCGGGTCCGGCGGCGAACTGTCTTAATTTGCACTTTGCTGAACAATAAAGGAATACTTTTTTTAATAATTTTTATTATTTTTATTTGGTTCGTGAATTAGCCGATTTGATCTAAAAAAATAAGTCGGGCCAAGACGAGCTAAAAAATTATAAAGTCGGACGATCTGGGCTAGACGGGGTCTTAATTATCAATAAATAAAATATAAAATCAATAAATAAATAAAAGGTTGATAATTATATGTTGTCTAAATTATCAATAAATGCCATGGGTTTGGTAATAGACAGCTCAACCAAGGCTTGGATTCGTACAAAGTTCTAATCACGATTAGCACGATAACGTACGGAGGACATCTTGACTTTTGATTAAACTATATCAGAATAATCACAGTCACATAAAATTAATCTCCAATCTCCTTCCACACGTGAAAGTGCATATATTCGCATCGTATCTCGGTTTTGTCTTCTATAAGTGTGATATGATCTCTTCATACGCTCATACCCTTTTGATCAACCCGATTCTTCAGATTCAAAATCATCAAAAAAAAAAACTCAATGGAGAAAGATTCGGAACGCGCGAAAAATAAACCGCCGGCGTACGGAAAAATGGTTACGATCCTCAGCATGGACGGCGGAGGAGTCCGAGGAATAATTGTCGGAGTCATCTTGACTCGTCTCGAATCATATCTTCAGGTTAATATTATTACGACTCGATCCATTGTTTTCATTTTACTCTTCTTTTTTTATGTTTTTCTTTAAAAGATTGTTCACTATCACATGCATTTAAATCTGTAATCATATATTATTTATAACCCATAGTTTTGGAGGGTGAAAACACGAATCAGAATCATGGAAATTTAAATCTTTTCATTCGTCTTGATAACCAAACGTAATTTTTTGATATAGAAGAAACTCATCGGACTAATCCTTGGATTGTGCGTATCTATATGCAAACAACCTAAAGATGATTACAAGTGAGAGAAAAAAAAAACATACATAGTACAAAGATATACGAGGGAGTCTTTGATTAAATCTTACATTTTATGATCATACTTTTTTTTATGACAATACTTTATATACATATTACAATAACACCCCTATAGGAACTCGACGGGGAAGGTGCGAGGTTGGCGGACTATTTCGACGTGATGGCCGGGACAAGCACCGGCGGCCTCGTGACGGCGATGTTGACGGCGCCGAACGAACTCGGCCGACCGCTTTTCACGGGCAAAGACATTGTTCCTTTTTACATGGAGCATGCTCCCAAGATCTTTCCTCAGCCCCAGTAAGGAAAATTAATTTCCATGTTTAACCAGTTATGGTTTATTGACTTGTTCTAGTTTGACCAATATTTGTTTGGATCTATAAATTGTATTAACTATAAACATAGATTTATTTCATAAATACGTATAGTTGACGCGTACACGTTACCGGCATAAATAATAAAATGATACTCGTTAAATAAATACACATATACGTTGGTGTTGAATATTGTTTCTTGTTATGCACTAAGAGTTCATTTTTTTGTATTATCTATAACACAACTATATCGATACATTTATAATCGGATTAATCTCACCAAATAACCTCAGAGAAAACTATTAGGACACTAACATTAATCCTATTAGGAATACAATTCTATAATAAATAATTCTACTCTCCATAATTCTCAATAGAAATTAAATAACTAAAAGTCTTGGCTTTCCATGAGTTTCATGATGAAATTAAGTCATATGCTTCTGATGAGAGTGTAATTAATTAAATGGACAGAGGGTGGTTTAATCTGTTGCCGAAGCTCCCAAAGCTTCTGTCTGGACCGAAATACGACGGCAAATATCTTCACGAACTGTTAAGGAAGTTGCTTGGAGACAAAAGACTTCACCAGACGCTAACCAACGTCGTTATACCTACCTTCGACATCAAGAAACTCCAACCTGCAATCTTCTCCTCCTATCAGGTCATCTATTTTCCTCAATGTTTCCGCACTTTCTGAAAAACAGACCGAAATTCGTGTTTGATTATGTCTTTTTGTCCTTGTGAAGATATTGTCTGATCCGGCTTTGGATGCCAAGTTATCAGACATATGCATCGGCACATCAGCTGCTCCTACTTTTTTACCTTCCCATCACTTTGTCAATGAAGATAGAAATGGGAAAGAGACCGAGTTCGACCTCATTGATGGCGCAATCACCGCCAATAACCCGGTATTTACCATCTTAGGACAGTATACTCGAGACCCTTTTGACCGAACATGGCAACGAAAAAAGGCGTTCGACTTATATGTAATGGATTTGTTTCGTTTTTTTGTTGGTTATTTCAGACTTTAGTGGCTATGACCGCCGTGTCTAAACAGATTGTAAACAACAATCCGGATATGGGAAAAATGAAGCCATTAGGGTTCGACCGGTTCCTGGTGATATCGATCGGGACCGGTTCATCCAAGCAGGAAGAGAAGTACAATTCCCGAAAAGCCTCCGGATGGGGGATCATATCTTGGCTCTACGACAATGGATCAACTCCTATTTTAGACTGTTACTCTGAATCGAGCCGTGACATGGTCCATTACCACAGTTCTGTCGTGTTTCAAGCCCTTGATTCCCAAGACAAGTACCTTAGAATCGACGTAAGATGAAATCCACTCTGTCAAAATCGGTATTACCGTAATTAACTACAGCTTCTTTTGCATGATTCGCTGGTGAAAATGGCAGGATGATACACTGGAAGGAGATGCCAGCTCTCTTGACATATCTACAAAGGCTAACTTGGAAAACCTTGTGAAGATCGGAGAGAAGATGCTGAAGAACAGAGTCGTGCATATGAATCTTGAAACTGGCAAATACGAACCGGTTCCAGATGACATTACCAACGAACAACAACTCGAAAGGTGAAACTTGTAACCGCTACTTCTTTCCAAGAAATCAATGTTCGGACATAAACTATAATGATTGTTAACTTCATCGATCTTCGACGTTCATTCAATCGACAGGTTCGCGAAAATGCTTTCGGAAGAAAGGAAACTCCGGAGATTGAGAAGTGAAACTCTGAAGTTAGATTCAAACTGATCCGACCAATCAACTTCAAGTGGATATTGTGATGTTTGTGTCTTTTGTAAGAATATGTTTGATTTTGCGCGTGTGGTGTAGCGAACTGCCATTGTGCCTCGTTGAACTTCTTTTATGTATTTTTGTTCCCTCCATGTAACAAAAAATAATGGAAGATTCAACCAAAAAAAAATAATGGAAGAAAAAATTGGCATAACCAAGAAAGACGTTAAAAATATTTTTTATATTCTAATGATGATTGGCGATTCAAGATCTCATGAATTAGCAAAAGAAATAAATAGTTTCCACTAATATTTCTAATCTATCGGTGTCAATTTTGGATAGAGACGAAATCCACGCCAAATTTAGCTAGAGACCAAATTTTCATTAGTTATATTATTACACTTTTTATTAGATATTATTATCATCATAAATTGACATGAAGATGATCTAATTAATTCATCCGATTTGTATTATATCGTATCCTATAAAACTATGGCAAGGGTAATCAATGGCGAAAGTTTCACAATTCCTCAATGAATAAATTGATGGATTTTTTTAAAAGAAAGGTTAGATAATAAATATAATTAATCAAATATTTAGACACAAATTAATCTAATTTGCATTGATATAACTAGGATTTTGTTGCATCCTATGGAAAAAAAATAAAACTCAAGAAAAAATTAGTTATTCATTAATTTAGCTTTTGTTCAAACTTATTAAATATGTTTATATCACTTCAATGAAACCGTAGGATATCAAAATAACATTTTATCTAATATCCGTTTCAACATCGATTTCCTCTACACAAACCTATTTTTTTACTTCAAGAACATATATATATATAAAACTTCCAATTTTTTCCATTAGGGTTTTAGGAATTTTGTATCACACAAGGAATTTACCTTTCATGATCGGTCTTTGCTTGCTAAGCCGATCACTTTCCCTTTCTCATGCCCACACAAGTTTTCATTAATTTGGCGCAAAAGTTAGATACATACTAATTAACACATAGCCAATCGCTTTCTTGCTTGCATTGCCTCTTCCCATGCCTACACAAGTTTACATCACATTTACTCTCATCACCTTTTTTGTCTCCATTCAATACTTTTTATACACACACACGCTTTGTGACGGTTAAATTAACTTCCACATGGCCTTGGCATGTATAACCTAGTGTTATCTTAATAAAAAAAATCTATTTTTTTTAACAATTCTAGTTTTCAGATAATGGATATTTTATATAATTTGATTAAAAGATAGAATCTAATAATCGCGATTCAGATCATTGTATAAATATTTCGCAAAAAAAGAAAGAAAGTAAAGTATGGTCATAGAGATTGATATCATTATATGAAATAGTCGGACCAGATTATAGATATAGATATTGATCATTTAACTTCATACAGGATGTTTAAGTTTAGTAATTTGTTGAAGTAGCTTATAGTAAAGTATGAAATACAAATAATGTAAATTTCTTTGAATAGAAATTACCCTTTAATCAATATATATATATATATATATAGAAGAGTTGAATATGAAGATTTGAAGGATATAATGGATAAGATAAATTATTTTTTTTATTAAAAGATACGCAAACGCATTTTGCTCTTTCCTCGAACCCCTTTGACGGCTTCCATCTACCAATGTGGCCTTTCGAGAAAATTGCAACATACGTCATACCATGTACGATACGATATTGGAATCGGATTACTTTCTTTTTTCTATTTTCTTTTAGGGCAAGGAAATTGAAGTAATGTTTCTCACGTCTAAGTAAAATGTATGTTCCTTTTCCTTGTCTTAAAAAAGAAAAACAATTTATACTTATTGTAAAAATAGGTGTTTTTCTTTCTAGAGGAAGTGTTACCTTTTAATCTATATATCACTTTTTTATTTTTCTGTGTGTGAAAAACTTTATTGGGTTGCATTATTACACCCAATATTCCGAAAATAGACCTAGTTTGCCCTGCCGGTCCAACCACTGTCCTAATTTATGAAAAAAATTGGTTTGACCATTGCGTTATAAACATTTATGATTTTTTTTTCTAAATATATTTCGTTTTTTGTAGTTGCTTTTTTTTTTTTTTTTTTTTTTTTTTTTTTTTTTTTTTTTTTTTTTTTTTTTTTTTTTTTTTTTTTTTTTTTTTTTTTTTTTTTTTTTTTTTTTTTTTTTTTTTTTTTTTTTTTGTTAACGGTAAACTTTATAAACCTTTTCAAAAAATTACAAGAGTTCTTCTGCAGATTTTTGTAGTTGCTTTTTACTGTGACATTTTACCAAACGAAGCTTTTCATTCAAAAGAAAAATTGATACATCTCATTTCCATATCTCTTTTAGAATGTGAATGGAATTTGGTCAAAACAAAAAAAAAACTTCTGATTACCTCTTGTGTATTAAAAAATGGATATTCAGTTTCTTGCTAATATCCATGTAATAATATTCTTTTTAAATTGTTTAATATTATTGGGTTTCCTGTTTTTCGTTGTAACTCAAATCCACGACGATGTAAAACCATTCTATTAAAATTTTATAAATTTAGGGTTACAATTTCACAACAAAACCAGAGTGGTTTTGGAAAACCGCGACGATTTGTCTTAGCTAATTCGAGTAACGGTTCTCTCGTGTTTGTATTTTTTTTTTTTTACAGGAAAAACGTGTAAAGATCACAAGGTTTCCATTTTTTATTCCAGCGACATTGTTTTTCCTTTCCAATTCATTAGAAAAACAAACAGCTGTCTTATATATATATATATA